ATCATTTAATATAAAAAAAATAACAAAAAAAAAAAAAAAAACTTTAAATTAGAAATGTTTACCTCTTTAGTAGTAAAACTCTGATCTGATTTCTCTTGACTTTTCTTCCACTGTTCATCTATTGTTTTTAATAAGGAATGCAGGAATCTATAATCCATCGCGTACAATGTGTGTGCTTTACTGTACGCCAACCAACGACTATAAAACAGAAATGCATTATGGGTAACAAGAGGAATAATAACCTAGTGATAATGAAATAATGGCAGATATATATTATAGCATGTGAGTATAGAACTTGGTGCATTTACAATCAACTTAAATGAAAATGTAATCTAAAAGTGAAGATAATGATGATCATAATGGTCATAATGATGCAGATGACGTTGATAATGATGAAGACAATTATCAAAATGATGATGAGAATGATGATGATAATGGTGACAATGGTGCAGATGACGTTGATAATGATTAAGATGATTATGAAAATGATGATGAGAATGATGACGATTATGATGAGGATGGTGATGACGACAGTGATATTGTAGATATTATTTTGGGTTTTAACACAGACGGTAAAATCAAGATAGCTAAAAAAAATTGTAGTGATTTGTACCTGTATGCAAAGTTTAACGGTGTGAGCTGGTTCTGTATGGCCAATTGATGTAGGATGTAGACTGTCTCACGATTCAGGGTACCATCCCACCTGTTGGAGTTACCCATCTGCTGTAACTCGTGCTCAATGAACCGCGTCAAGATGCAACGATAGCACTCAACGGGGCTCATACGATCTTCAACTTCTTCCTCAGTTTCTTCGTCTTTCTCTCTCTAGAAAAAAAATTCCATTAATTGCTTATTACAATAATGCTTCTCTCCACCCAGGAGTATAAATGGGTATCTGGTGGGGTTGCCTGGTCCTGCGCTGATTACTAGCAGCAACGCTTAAAGCATGTGAACCAAATGACCAGGGAAAAGAAGTGCGCTTTATAACCTCAAGGAAGAGGTGCATTATGAATGACTATACCAGTACCAGTTATAGAATACACTTTCTGAATCTAATTCTTAATTTTTTAAATTACAATTATTAAAACCTGCTAGTTCATTATGGCGACTATGTTTTCATACTGTTGAAAAACAGAGCATACTTTTTTCAGATCTTTTTTTATTATTACTATTTATTAAATAATTCTAAATGAATAAAATAAATTTATACAAAAAAATTCAATATTAACCATATTATTAATATTAGTTATTTATATTCCTAAAAAATTTATCACCAAAATATACAGTACAACTATTGTTAAGAAATATTTGGTTTATTATCAATTAACCAAATTAATTAAATTAATTTAATTTAATTTAATTTGTGTTTTCACACACAAATTAAATAACACTTACCCGGTACCCTAGGTGTAACTGTAATTTGATTTTGCCCTTTGCCTTCGATTTCTGTGATTTTCCTTCCAATTTGAACCAGTTCGTTTTTCCATGACTCGGAATATCCTGCAAAAAAAAGACGAGTGCATAAAAAAAAATGAATAAAACATAACAAATAAGTTTTCACTTCACAGAAGGTATGGGCTGAGAGGTCAAGGCTTAATATCGCTTCACTAGACTGGTGAAACGAAAGTCTTCCAATGTTTCACTCATCAGTTATGGAAAGACAGCTTCTGAATAAATCATCTAAACTCTATAGATTAGTACAGTGCGTCTTCCAATTCGAGACACCACCAATTTGAGACCACTTTTGCAAAGAACCAAATAACAATCTTCAATCTATTAACACTAAGCTAACTCTGTATGTGCAGATGGAACCCCGAGACCACCTCAAATTTTCTGTCCCGAAGGTGGTCTGAAACTGGAGTGTGAACTGTATTTAGTTGCAGCTACAAAATACCCCCACAAACAATGATTCTTTAGATGAAAAACAGTTCTTTGGCATGAAAAATTGTTCTTTGGCATTAAAGAATAGTTCCTTGGCATGAAAGAATGGTTCTTTGCATGACAAACATTTTTTTGGCATTCCAAGTACAGTATTGATTTCGGGCCAAACACGTTCCTCAAGATGCCAAAAAGAAGGGTTCTTTTTTATGGGGCCATTACAGTTTCCACAAAGGATCGCCCACACAAGGAGGTTTTCATTCATTTCATTTTCAATTTCTCTTTATTTTACACTTTACATCCATAGTTAAACATCATCAACTTAACTAATTTTTTATTAATATACCCTTGAATCATAGAGAGAGGAAGTGTTTTATTATTTCAACTTTATTTCAACTTTGTTTCCAAACAAATAACAAAACCAACTGCATGTCAAAAAGAAGGAGGTATTTTTCTGGGGCCCTTTCAGTTTATCTTCCTCTTTTCAAATATGTAAATATAAACGAGTTGATAAAAAGTAAATCAAGGTAGATAATAAATCTATAAAGTGACCATGTATAACAAGTTAAGTCTCTGTCATAATCCCAGACTTATATACCAAGAACTCCTCCCCTCCTAGACTTATTTTGTTTGTTTTCATAGCAAGATTTTAATTAATTTTTTATGCCAATTGGACTTTTTCCTTATGCATATTTCTGGGTGGATTTGTGATTACAAAATGATTCAATACTATTGCTAACTTGTTTAATGAAAGCTTTTCTTTCTTTTTAATTTTATTTGTCCTTTTTATGTTTCTTGTTTATTGTATTTGCTTGTAATTAAGCTCACAGTTTGGTCTATGGGATTGATTGTTTTTATACCGAAATAAATAAATAAATAAAACTATTTCAGCATTGACCCTTACCTTGATTGGTATGTCTATACTACCAAGGAAGTCATCTACATTTCCATCAGTGTTCTTGGCATTGTGTACAATTTGTTTGAAGTATCTTCCCATTCCTTTCATACCAACAACTTCATTAATGTTCCTCATGGCACCTAGAATCGTGGAGTCGTCATCATGGTCCCTGCATAGAATAATACAAAATAACAATAATTAATAACAATAAGAAAATAAAAATGATGATGCAGATGTTATTAATGACAAAAACAAGATGATAAGGATGATGGTGATAATGATGATGACAAAGATAATGATGATAATAATATGTTATATTTATATAGCGCTTAATGCCAACAAGGCCTCTAAGCGCTTCACATTACTACCCCCGGTCATTGGATTAGACACCTATGAAACACAAACTGTTCCATAAAGTTGCAGCAGCTACACCAGCACATTTTGGCATTTAACCTTAACAGGCACCCATTTATACTCCTGAGTGGAGAGAAGCAATGCAGATAAAGTGCCTTGCCCAAGGACACAAGCGAAATGCACAGCGAGGGGATTGAAACTCCGACCTCGAGGTTGGGAAACCAAACCGTACCGACTGCGCCAAGCCACTTCTACTGATGATGATGACAAAGATGATGATGATCACAAAGAAGATGGTAATGAAAGATGATGATTTGATAATGATGATGCAGAGGAAGAGTATTTCGTCATTTCTCAAAGTGAGATTATAATTATTAAGAAAAATTAAAAATTCATTCTCCTCACCAAATTTCCAAATGAAATATATCGTCCTGGAGATCCTGCAGATCACTAAAGAAAAATAAAAAAAGATTTTTGTTACTGTTTTATTTATTAGCCAACACAAGAATATTGTGGGTATTGATAATGTAGTACATAGCACCAAAGTTCAAGCGGTTTTGTTAAATAGTTTTAGTAATCATTTATTAATTGTATACAGCACCAAAATCTAAGGTGTTGTTTATGATTGTATACAACAGGCCTCCTTCAATATCCCCATATGGACAAACCTGACTTGTGAGACACTTCAATCCTTAAGCCCTGTCCAGACCATCAAATATCATTTGACAAAAACATGTGACATGCCTAAATATGGTCATGATGACATCACATCATGACCATATATAGGCATATCATGACTATGTATGGTCATGATGACATCACATCATGACCATAAATAGGCACATCATGACCATAAATAGGCACATCATGACTATATATGGGCATACAACAGTTTTTTGTCAAAGAAAATTTGATAGTCTAGACAAAGCTTATAAGGTTAGACATGAGTTTCTAAATATTGGGGAGTGGTACTTTATAAACAAATTTCCTCCCCCTCCCCAAAATTTATATTTACTCACATGCTGAACGTTTCCTCCCATACTGGATTAAGATTTTGCTTAATAACTCTTGTTTGCTTTATCGCCTGCTCGGGGACTTTATCTCGCAGTTTCTCCTTTTTGTGTTTCTTATGTTTCTTTTTAATTTTGAACCATTTCTTTTTCTTATTTTTCTTTGCATCAACTTCTGTTTCATTGTTATCTGCTAGATTGTTCACGGGCTCTGTTGTGTTTTCCTTTGGAGGCATGATGCCCAGCAAACAGTATGGATCACTGAAACCTTTGAAAATTCAAGAACTGTTTATTCGCCACATTAATAATTTATATTTATTTTATTTCATTTATTTATAAAGGCACATGCACCAAAGATTGTCAATAGGGAGTTTATCTATCCACTTATAGGCGACAATCCCTTTCACAAGACAAACATACTGTACACACATGATGCTTTACACAAACTAAATGAACCAACAGGCTACATATAATTACACTTGAACGAATCACAACGATATAAGAAAATAATATTTTATGAGACACTACAGGTAGTGACAATCATTATCATAGCTTGAATACAGTAAAATAGTTTAGGTATATTGGTCTAAATGCACAGCAATAAAGGTATAAGGTTGATATCACTTTACAGAATAAACAACAATTAAACCACACATTTTTCACTTCCAGGATGGTTTAGACTCCTATAGTGAAAGTGACTGTTTACTGTTTATAATAAACATCAACCAATATAGTCCAGTATAGTGCCTACGCCTATCTTAAAAATCATATCCGTCACAAATGTTTAAAATACAAAACAGTCTACCAAACGTCAATAGCTCTAATACCATCTATGTCATAACAATCTTGCCAGGCCAGATGTTTTCTCTTAAGGAAGGAAGTTTCAAATAAAAACAAAGTAGACTTTAAGTCCTTGGAAACTTACCATTAGGATCTTTAGCTTCCAGTCCATTGGCAGTAATAACAGTGACATTTAAAATTGGAATTAAAGCCTACAGGAGAAATTTTTTACAGATGTCATGTTCCATAAGGACATTTATTTTTAAAACAAATTTTAGCATTAAATATAAATATGGAAAAAATGAATTCATTGGAGTAATTGGAACTTGTATTATTGACTTATTGTTTAAATGTAAGCCTATATATATATATATATATATAAAAAAAAAGTCATGGATATTTAATGTAGTTTACAATTAATTCCTTCACATCCTTCACATCCAACTTATACTTGCCACTTGCAGGATAGAACGATGCTTTACAAAATCTAGGCTTAGAGAATAGTTGTTTTTGGAAGTGAGAAAAAGTCCTGCTGTTACAGGAACTGAACCCAGGACCCTGGGATTAAGGCATTTTCTCAAACCAATTCGTAATTTGTAACTTATTATTACTGGCATACTGTAGGCATTTTAATAATTAATATTATTAAAGATAGCAATTGGTATCATACACTGAATAACAAATACCAACAAAGGCGGCTAATAATATTTGATAACATAGTGGTTTTTTTTACCTAATTGATCTATTAAAGCTTTCATCCCATCCTGACAGGGCCACTGTTTGTATGAACTTCCTAAATCTCTAATGTACTACAAGCAGTGGTGGCGCCAGTCGGACAGGATTGGACCCCCTGTTGTCCTACTCCACGATCAGGTCATTGGATCAAAAATTATAATTTGCATATCCAAATAACGTTATTTTGATTGCCAATCCCTAATATTGTGGTCTAAAAACACAATTTGAACCAAGCCATTAAAAATCTCCCAGTGAACCCTACCATGGGACTTTTTATTCCGATACTTGGATCAAGGGTCTACTTAGCCCCTAAGTTCAGACCCCACGTCGGACATGCCTGAACCCTTGTCGGCAAATTTCCGGAGCCACCGCTGACTACAAGCAGTTCAAAAGCATGCCTGCTTGCTTCAAAGGTTTACTGTAATACCGTCATTAAGAGGCCCATCCAGGAAAGAAAAAGGAAGGAAGGAAGGGGAAAGATCATATGAAACATGAGGGCCAGAGGTACTAGGTTTCTTGGTGTGGTCTATAGAAAGTGCTCTGGGGTGGTCAGGGGATGAAGTTCTAGAACTTCATCATAATTTTAGTGGTTTTTATACAAAAGGAGTCGTTTTTTGCTTAAAAAGAAAGGATGGCTGGAAAAACAGAAACCACCCCCAACCCCTAGTTGTGGGTCTGACAGCTAAAAATAAACTACAAACATGATTCTCACTTCTTGTTCGCTGCTACTTTCTAAAAGCAATACATTATGGTCATCATCAGGAATGCAAAAAGCCTGAAAACAGGAAAAAACAATAGAAATAATTTCACACAATTTCTAGCACTGTTCGCCTTTGGTAAATGTGAGTGGCCAGTTATATTCACTGAGCTATGTAAAACCACAGACTGATAGGCTGGATTAGCCTTTAAGAATATTTTTGGGTAGGTACACTAGTTGCAAGAGCTAATACTTTCAAGGCTACTCTACTGCTGAATAGTAGCTTAAAATCAAGATATACTTCAATAAAAAGATAATATGAACAAACTGTTGTTTGATAGTTTGAAGTTTCATTCATTAATGTGATTCTATTACCATGTCATGTATTTTAAACCATGCAGTCAAACACAAATAAACAATGAATACCGTAAAACCTTGAATAGAAGCCCAATTTGCTATTTCAAAAAGAAGCCCATCTCGAATTCAAGTGCATGGGCTTCTCTTCAGGAGACAGTACAGTATGCACTGCACATGAATTTCAAAGAAACAAAATAAATTAAAACCACACTTGGTTTAAACAATAGCTTAGGTGATTTAATGCCGGTAAATACACTCCATGATACAGACTGATGTTAAAGTGGTCCTATTTATTGTTTTATAGTAGTATTTCCCAAAATTTACAGAATAAATTTTGAAAAGAAGACCCCTCCCTTTACTTTGCAAAAGTAGTCTCAAAAAGAAGCCCATCCAGTCCAGTCCAGGGCTTTAATTCTAGGTTTTACGGTATAGCAGCAGCCTGTAGTTAGTTAATAATTTAGCCATCCTACATAATCTTACTTTCTCTTCTCTTGAAGATTGATTTTAATCTCTATTTTGCCAGGCCCTAGATCCACCATTGTTTATAATGAGATAAACTGATGTTAATTCCTTAGAAGTAGTATAGTACTGATAACCTTACCACTTTATTGGCCGTAGAACAAAAAAATGTTTCCTGTTTTTCAAGCATGTGATTACATCTTTGACTAAATGTCACATGTTGGAAACATTGGTTGGTACAGTATATAATGCTTAATTAAAACCTGTGTGTGAGTGATGTTTCCAGCATACTGCATTTTTCACATGACAATGACTGAAGTAAATTTGCACATGCCCTACAACTG